CCCAAACCCCCCATCCCGCACATATAGATCCCTTTGTTGGCCAGCAGCGTGCACGCGTTCCCAGCCGACAACGTTGCGAGCGGGCTGGTGCGCATGCTGTGCTGGTGCACCGCCTAATAGGAAAGCACTGTCGCCATGTCGGTCTGCTGGTGCCAATCGCAGTGGCTGGTCGCGGCGGGGCCAACAGCACTCACGGCAGCGCGGTGCGGCCAGCGCCATCAACGCCGCGAGGCGCGCGCGGCAGAGGGAGGGCCGGCGCCTCAAAATGGTGTAGCCGAGCCATTAGCAGTCCGAGCGCGCAGTGACGGCGGGCCGCGCGCGGCGGGCGAAACGGGTAACAAAGCCAACGGCAGCTGAGTGGCGCAGAGCGCTGTTACAGCTAGTTGTTGGTGGAGATGATTTGGCGCTAGCATTGGCTTGCACAATGGTCTGCTAAATCAGGCCTTACAGGAGCTGCAGGGGTGTGATGAGAGCGGCGAAGCTCGACGCAATGTGGTGCAAAACACAATACGCCGCGCCATGCATGAACCTACGTGGTTTGATTGCTACTGCACTCACAGTCACACGGCAGTTCCTAGCTGCATGCCATCCCCGCTGTCATGGCTGTTTGCAACTAGGTAGGCATGTTGGCCGGCTACTAGGTCGGCATGTTGGCCGGTGCGAAAACAAAAAAAAACTGTGCCCGCCACCCACTGGAATCTGCCCTCCGTGGTGCATTTTGATGCAGCCGTTTCTTGCCCCGGATTGCTTCAGGGCACACAAAATAAATACACTTATGCATACACTATTGTATACGCGGTGTTTCAGGTGGGTCCCACCGCTATTAGACGGCCTATGTGCCATGGACTGATCTGCCCCCGCCCATCCTCTGCGCGGTGAGAACATTGTTTCCTGCGCCAAGCGCAGCCCATAGAGGTTCCATGTGATTGTTGTAACCACGTGGACGGGTCACTGGTGTGGAAGAAGCAGGATAGACGCGCTCTACCTACTGCAGCTAATGCACTCGCAGATACCACGCCAAAGCATCCCCGCGCTCTGCTGCCGCCCTCAGGGGCAAGATGAGATCATTTGCTGCCGTTTGAGCCGCGCCGGAGCCTCTAACTCGCCGTAGGCAGTGAGAAATTGGGCCTCAAACTATATTTAGTCTGGTGGCGGGCAAAGGGTTGGAAAAACTAATAACAACAACGAAAAACTGCGAAAATCTGCAAGAATCTGCGGAAAACTGCGGAAAACAACTCAAAACTACGATAAGCTAATAACAGATGAACAGAAGCTACGCAAACCCACGGTGCAGCCGAGCCAGATCACTCAGCGATCTTGTGTATGAAGATGATGATAAGAGGCTTTTGATATTATTCCCGTGCTTTCACAGGTGTGTACCGACGCGGGGACTCCTAGAAGGGTCTGTGGGTGCCCCCTGGTTTGTTCACAGTCGGCCTGCCTGCATGCAGCACCACCAGCCGTTGGCGCGGCCTAGCACTCATTCATCTCAACTATGCAAAACACTTCAGTATTTTTCGTAGTTTTTCTAGTTTCTGCGGCAGCACGCCGGCCAACATGCCAACAACATAGCCATATGCTACTACTACTCCTCAAGTGCGCATGTCCAGTGGCATTGGCCGTTGAGTGGCCGCTTTGCACCAGGGTTGCCTAGGGTATACAGACAGACAACATGAATACAATACATGTACATGTTCATCGTATCAGGGTTACTCTTGCACAGTGCGTGCCAGCTCGTCCCATTCACCGAAGTCAGCCGGCACACCGTACGCCACTGCAGCACCCTTGATCAAACGCACAGCATAGGCAAAATCCTGATCCGGCTCTTGCGAGTCATAGGGGGATACCGCAGGGGCCAGCCCTCCTGTAGCTGCTGCCCCAGTTGCGGTGCTGCCGCCGTGGCTGCGACCCGCTGCAGACGTGCTGCGCCCTGCTGTTTGCTGGTGCGAACCCTGCTGCCCTGCAGCATTGAGGCGCCTCAAAGCCAGCCTGGTCACCCTGCCTCCGCCCGCACCAGCGCCGCTGCCAGACGCGCCAGCGCCGCCGGCCCCACCACCCCGGGTAGCACCTGCGCCGCCCGCCGCGCCAAGCGTTCCTGCGCCTGTGTGGATTGGACAGTGCAGTGAAGGAGATGAGATTGAGGAGATGAGAATGCCCTGTGATAACAGTGTGCGGTAACACAATCAAAACGCGTGTGCATGGGCAAAGCACGGCTGGCTGAGCGGCCATCATGTCCTCTTCATGGTGAGGCAGCCACCATCACGCACGCACACGCGTTCATGCTTGTGTTGCCTCTTCTCCTACGTGCTTAAATCACTGCTACCCACACGATGGCCTCCGATGAACCCAGCGCCTTGCTGCAGGCACGCATGCAGGCACGAGGCGCAGGCATGAGTGCGAACCTCACCTGGCACGTGCTGGAGTTCCTCCTGCAGCTGCCGGCGCATGAAGGCGACCGCGGGACGTCCATCCTCTGCTGCAGCTGGACTCGCCACTTGCAGAGTGAGTCCTGCGTCCTCTGCCACCCAAGACACGACTGCATGCTGGTTGCAGTCACCGAAGGCGACAGCCAGCCGCCGGCCCGTGGTCTTGTGCAGGCCGATGCACTCCGTGGCCGCCTGGGCCCATGCCTTCAATGCACCTTGACCTGCAGGAGCAAACAGGGCAGGGGAGGGCACCCAGCTTAGAGTGCACTCCAACAAACAGGCAGACTCTGGTGGGAATTGGCACTTGCAGATGGCCGCACTGTGTGGATATGCAAGTGGAACCATACGGAGCCCAAATGGGAACCATATGACACAGCCATGTGTGACAGGGGCCGCAGGCCAGAGTGATAAAGGCCTGCGGTCCTCATGGGCTCACCTTGCAGATAGGCCTGGGACTTGAGCTCGTAAGCACCCAGGACGCCCCGCAGGTTGCCCTCAAGCTCCGGGACAGATGGCTCGCGGTCCACTGGGCCCCGCCAGACGCAGTCCGCCATGAACACATAATCTGTGCCGCCGACAAGACCCACGTTCACGTGTGGGTAGTCCGCGTGTAACCACTGCTGAGAGGTGACACAGTAGACTGTGACGCCAGGAGGGGCCATGTGATCCTGCAGCCACTGCCTGCAAGCTGTCAGCATGGCTGGGTCGGTCTCACGTGTGGTGCGCCAGACCACAGCAGCCACCTCTGCAGGAATCACGAAAGAAGAGTGGCAGCAACGGTGACTATCAAGACCACTGAGTAGGGCTAATTATGCAGATATGTAAGTGTGTGTGTAGGTGTGTGTGTTGGGGGGAGGGCGGGAGGAGTGGGGGGAAGGGCATCCCCGTATGTGCCATGGGCTGGGAACCAATACTGCCACGGTAAGCCAGGTCGCCATCCTAACATGTCACATATGCATGCATGGGCACAAGCCACAGCACGCCCAAGACACTCACCTCCTTGCTCCTCCCAACTGGGCTGCAAAAGAGTTACATTCACACTGATGCCGTAGCGGAGGCGCTCGCACACCGTGCGGACGCGAGAGGTGCTGGCTCGGGACATCGAGAAGCGACAGTCCGTCATAAGCGCGCTGAGCTGCTCCTCCACCAGCGCCGCACTGGCCTTGAGCGCCTCCTCCTGCTGCGTTGCGCTGGCTTTGAGTGCCTCCTCCACCCGCGTCGCGCTGGCCTTGAGCGCCTCCTCCTGCTGCGTCGCGCTGGCCTTGAGCGCCTCCGCCTGCTGCGCCGCGCTGGCCTTGAGCGCCTCCGCCTGCTGCATTGCGCTGGCCTTGAGCGCCTCCTCCACCCGCGTGGTGCTGGCCTTGAGCGCCTCCTCTTGCTGCGTCGCGCTGGCCTTGAGCGCATCTGCCTGCTGCATCGCGCTGGCCTTGAGCGCCTCCTCCTGCTGCGTCGCGCTGGCCTTGAGCGCCTCGGCCTGCTGCGTCGCGCTGGCCTTGAGCGCCTCTGCCTGCTGCGTCGCACTGGCCTTGAGCACCTCCACCTGCTGCGTCGCGCTGGCCCTCAGCACCTCCTCCTGACGCGTCAAGCTTGCCGTGAATACCTCCTCTAGCCTTGTCAGGCTGGCGGTCGCAGTTGCTGACAGGTCAGGGTGAGTTGCAGGGAAAGGTGTGCGTCAGGCGTCAGGCGCAGGCAAGCATGTAGGGAACGCTCAGGACACGTGCGATGGGCCTGTAACGGCCATCTCTGCGTGAGAGGCCGAGCACCACCGGGAAGCTAAGTGACGCACATAGTAGAGCATGCAGGTGTTGCCGCAAAGCGTGGGTGACGTGTGAGATAGGAAGCTGCCCCTAACAAGTTGCACATGGGGAAGTGTGCGTTTGGGGTGCTGCAAAAACCAAGGCTGCTGCTGCATGCTTATTGCCCGCGTAAAAAAGAGCAGCTGGGGATGCGATGTCGGCGACCTTGTCACAAAACCCTGCTGCATCTCACCTGCTGCTGTGGATGATTAGCAGGGGCACAGATGAAAGCCATGATGGTCAAAGGTGATCAACAAGCGATGCGCGAGGAAAGCCCAGAGGCGGTGATGGAGCAGAGCAAGTGATGAGAGGGACAGGGATGCAGAGTTCGTGTCACGTGCAGGCATCCACGTGATGCCATCCATGCAAAGTAAACACAAACATACGTGCTTGCTGCAAGGATGCACGGTGGTTGCCACCACACCACGCTTGCAGGGTGCAGCTGAGTTTCCAATCGAAGATCAGCAGTATCCATGCTTCGTTCCGCCTTGACCAGCAGCACTTGCTGTTGCAAATCCCACAAGGCCGTGGTCCACGCCACTGAGTCATTTGAATTGTGAGATGCAAGCAGAGCTCACCTGATGCTGCCGATGCTGCGCCTGGACAGCGGATGACGGGATGGTGGCAACACGAAGTGGCCGACAGCAGCATGGGTGCACATGAAAATTAAGTGGGTGACAGAGTGCAGCATGTGGCGTGAACGCGAGGGGGGGGAGGGGAGAGCAGCAAGAGTATGCAAGTAGTGTGAGCATGTACAATTAGGCGATGAGGATGCGGCAAGCTGTGGGCAGGTCATGCACACTGGCTTCAAGCTCTGCCCACAGAACGTAGGTGTCCATGTGCACATGTTTCGAGCGCTCAGGCTAGCTGTGGTGCATGCCTGGTGCAGCAACCAGCAACAAGCCGCTCACATCCCCGTGCAGCCCCACAAAACAAGGAAGCCCCTAGCGTCTGTCATGCGCATTGTGACCACTTGCCGCGTGAGCAGCATCGCATACGAAGCCACTAGCACCTGCGTCCCAGCGTCCTCCAGGACTTCTTGATACATGCAACACACTGCGTGGTTGCAACAGCCGGCAATCATATCATACAAGGACCCACCCACCTTGAACGACTGCCTTGATGGCCGTCCGCCTGTGGCCAATCGGCAGGTCCAGCAGACCGGCGGACCAGTCGACGGGCATCTGGCCAATAGCCACTGCGGCCTCGCCGCAGAGCTCGATGCTGTCATCGCCTGGGAACATCTCAGGCAACGTGCGCATCAGCAGCTGCCTCGGAGTCGGCGCATCCATGGCAACCGGGGCCTGCGCACACTACCTGGAGATGGCCATTGTGGGGCAGGTAGCACAGAAATTGCTTGAGCTGGCTTTGTGACCAGCACAGCAATAAAGCCAGCAGCATCAGGGTGAGGGCAGCACCGCACCTCCCAGCATGCACAGGGTGCGCCAGCAGCAGCTGGGACGCAGGTACTGGTGCTGTAGGCTGTTCCAAGCAGAGCTCCCAGCCAGCGCACGCACCTTTGGCTAGCCGGCAGCCCTCAACACGTATTACACGACGTGGCAGACTTGATGCGGGACACTCAGGGAGGCTGCGTGTTGTTGTAGGGGCCGTACTTGCTCACACATGAACATACACACTATAAGAGCCTCTATGCGGCGACTTTGTTCGGCGTTGGTCCCTAGGCGAGGAAGGGGCTCCGATATGATATCATACTTGCTTTTGCCTTTTCACAAACAAAATCAAAGAGAGCACCTCAATTACCTTGGAGATGTACAGGCCGTCACCTTTTCACAGGGCGCTCCAGTGCGGAAGAGCTGCGGTTGCAGCTCAGCTCGGGCTCAGACCACCCGAGGTGTCGATAATCATAGCCGTAGTGGAATGAAAGGCGGTTTGGCCCCGTACCTCAGGGCAGAAATATGCTGCGCCCCCCAGCTCCTTGGGCGTCCTGCGTGGCCCAGCAGTGTCGCTGGAGGCCGCAGCTGCCGATGGTGCAGGGGGCGCGGACCAGGAGGGCAGCGGTGCCGCGCAGCTGTACCTGGATCAGGACCTCAGGCGCCTGCTCGGGGGCAGCAGCAGCAGCAGCAGCAGCGGTGGGGGCGGCGGCGCCAGTCGCAGCAGCAGCAGCGACGAGGGCGGCGCCCCAGCCGGCGCCACGGGCGCTGCTGGCGTTGCCCCAGCCGCCGTTGAGCCACGCAGCACAGCTGCCAGCAGCCATGGCAAGCGCAAGCAGGAAAACGCTCGGTCCTACAAGAGCATCAAGGCCATCAGCCTGCTCGGTGCGCCCGCATGTGGCTGGCGTGTGGGTGTGGGTGTGGGCGGAGGGGCATGTGAGCGCGTGTGTGTGTGT